TGAATTATGCGCGTAGATAATTTTTGAGAAGGTAAAAGGAAGTTTACATCGATGTGTCCTACAAAGACCATGCTTTTCCCTCGCACCTAATTGTTTCACATGACTGTATTATATTTTTGCCCCAACTAAACTCAAACTAAACTTAGATAACATTATTCACACTGATTTTTGGTAGGGTGATTGCTTGTGATTATTGTGTAAGTGAACATGGTGGTGTAAATTAGCCGTCTCGTTAGGGGTTGAGGCAGATAAAAATGGTTTTATATGCAGAAGAACTCGATAATTTTCCCAAAAGTCATGGTGCACGGTGTCGGGGAGTTTGCCTGTCTCGCTTTTATTGAAACATGCCCAAAGCCAACTTCTATTTTCTATGTTTTCAGAGAAGATCGATTATTTCGAATTTCCAACTTTTTGCGACGTTGAATTTGTTGCCATTCGAACGAAAATGTGTAGCAAAGAGTTGTATGTAACTTATTCCTATATTCCCCGAAATGGGGATATTTCTACTTATAAGAAACATGCTGTCCTTATTTGTCGCCAAGAAAGCTAGACGTTTTAATATGGTGTTTGGAGACTTTCCACTTACCACACAACATTTGGTGTTGCAATAAAAATTTCATGTTGTACGGACCCCTTTTCAACATCTAATGGCTCTATTGTGTTTTTCAATGATTTATTTGATTGAAATCTTCTTCAGTACAACCATACTTCTAATTGTATGTTTGCCGCCATATTAGTTTTCATATACATATATACATATATATGCCTGTGTGGGCGTTGATATGTTATTGGCATAGTCTGTTGTTCTTTTCTTATAAATGTTTGGTGTAGGATTTACTGAAACCAAAATCAGTTGTTTTTTCTTATAAATGTTTGGTGTGGGTTTTATTGAAACCAAAATCAGTTGTTTTTTTCATATTTTTTTAATTAAAAATTTACATTTTTAGTGAATTATGAATATTTACATTCCCTGCTGTCAATTTGTTATGGCTTTAGACTTTCCACCACAAAAAAAATGAGTATAGTGAACACCACCTGACCAGATGGATTAACTTTTTCGCGATAATACCAGCGATATGGGTATTAAATGAAAGGGGTTGGAGCGAAGAAAGCGACAAGTTAAGTATGTTATACATTTGCACCATATTGTTACAAATATATATTGACAATTCATAATTGTAAAATGCTATCCATCTTTTAGTTTACCACATGATCCGCAAGTTGCAAATGGTTCCATTAGAGACAACCACTCTAACGTACCAAATCTCTGGTGATATTAAAACCTCGAACTTCCCTGCTGAGTACTTCTTACGAAATTGTTCCATTGCTGCTTCCCATTTAACTGATGATTACCCATACCGAATCACAAACTCGGTGATGACTACGGATTTAGTCATTTCAAAAATTTATTTGATTAAGATTCGAGGAAGAGTGTCACAAAATTTTTCAACTGCTGATTCTGATTTAACTGTTAACGGTTTCGATTATTAACTTGGTCATTGCAGAAAAGGACGTTTTAGATGGGGTCTCTAAAATATAGTTGCAAGCCTGGGTCTGGCGGCATTCCATCCTGTAGACCTACATTATGCTCTGCTGTGCTGTGCGGCATTATGTCAAAGATTCTTAATAATTCCTTGTCTTGGAAGAGTAGCTTCCTAATCCCCTCTCACAAATGTGTAGATATTTCATGAAGAAAAAAATTGTTTGAAACAATTGTTAGTCACCAATTAGCTTTCGCTAACAAATCTTATATTGCTCTATCTGAGCATAGCTTCCTAAATGCAAAATCAACGAACTTCTTAGAGTTTACGTGCTATATTTCGAAGGCTTTTCGGGTGGTTCTCGCACGGATGACGTATACACTGATATAAGTGAAGCGTCCGACTTAGTGCGATTAAATCTAGCCATATCTCGATGTACGCTGACGATGTTGTACTGCGCTCTCTTTAAGTAAAGCTAGTCCGCGATAGATTTCATTAAGAAGTGGCCCAAAAAGCTTAAGGATCTTAACGTCTATTGCTGCAAATAAGGCCTTAACTAAGTTTCAGTGAAGGCCGAACAGGAAAACTCAGCGCTCGCTGAATTTGAGAAAGTAGAACGAATTTTTGAGGTTGGGGCCCTAACACTTTGGTAAATGAAAGTTATTGGGCCCGAAGAAACAGTTAGTTTTTTGAGAATAGAAGAGCTACCGAATTAGTATTACGGGCTTGATTCCGACGAATGAACTAAAACATACGAGAGATATATGGAGATTTTTATTTAGAGTTGACAAACTTAAAAAAATTTTTAGGGTTAACAAACAGCGAGGATTTTATCAACTTATGGTATCTGCAATAATATTTGTAGTTGAGGTAATTAAATCTATGCCTTGCAGCAGAGTAGGCGAAATAGTCGTAAGCCGAACCACATTTCATAAATTTTTTGAAAAGTTTGTTTTTCCTAATTTTGAAATATTTTATTCTCTTGTTAAACTTATAGAACGATAACAGTAAAGCTTCAATATTTCCAGCAGAGAAATCAAACATAATGTGTGAAAGATGAGATTTAAATATTAAAATATTCGTTTTATTACAATCATAATGTTTATTGGAGAAAATTGGATTTACCACGCTAGAGTAGTTGAACGAAAGCAAGTTCGCACGAATGTAAATCAGGCTTTAATCAAGTTTTATTGAAAACCAAACAGAAAACTCCTTGCTCACTGAATTTAGGAAAGTGGGGTAAATTTTTAAGTTAATGGCACTAACATTTTGGTAAATGAAAGTTACTGGGCCCGAAGAAACAGTTAGCTTTTTGAGGGTAGACGAGCTACCGAATTATCTTCACGGAGTCGAACCCGACGGATGGACTCCTTAATTAAGTATCCAACCGACCACAATGATTCGTTTAACAAAATTTCCATGTTCTCTGTCGGAACGGACACTTTAAAAGACGAGATAGCTCTATGTTGAGGTGGAACCAAATTAAAAGTGCAAACATGTTATCCTCAAAGGTATCCTCAAAAGAACAGCAGCACGGTCTCTAACACCTGCACTTTTCGCCCGACAAAAGGGTTTGCAAAGCCAACAAGCAATGCATTGTTTAGGATCAAAGCCTGTTTTGGTTCGACATGATGTATACAAACGCTCCACGTCAGAAAGCAACAGGCAAATAGAGTTTCTGAAAAAGAAAAAACAAAAAAATTTGTTACGTATTCGCAAGCGATCTCTTAAACTAGCCACAAACTTCGCACTATTAAAAACATAGTAACCAAAGAGTAAACCAAGGGAAAAACGGTAAAAGCCGCGAATCCACTCATATTTTTGGAAGCAACAACACGCAATAAACAATAGACAATTTCTTTTCACGAAAGTACCAAATGCTGATGACAAAAACCAATATCACTATCAATACAAAAACTTTAATATAATTCAATAAATTTAACACTTTTATAATTAACTAGGCTTTAAAAGCGTATAAAGCAATAAGATAAACAAATAAATTTGTAAAATTTTTACATACAAAGTAAAATCGTTCGACCACATCGTGCCCGCAGAATTGCCAAAGTAAACGCTTGGAACCGCGCTCGCGTCGGCTTCAACCTGACTTAAATAATCTGATTACATAGTGCTCAATAGATTTTATGCAATTAGATCTAAAAAATGCGAGAAGCTTTTTTCCTGAAGGAAGAACTCACTCACTACTATTTCATTGAATCATAAAAATTGGAAAATGTAAATCCTGCATGGATTTAGTGACTCTATCCGAGAAAAGACTACGTTTTAATCTACACATTAAGCGCTCTGTAATTAATGATCCTTACTTAATGATTGGGCTGAGTCGTTTGTAGGCGATACGTCAAATATAGTTAAGAAGAGTAACTAAATTTATTATTTAAAACAGTAAAAATATTTTTTTTGCTACGTGCGGCTGGTGAAATTAAAACCAAAGAAGGAAAATGTTTGACAATTAAAATTTATTGAATATTATTTAGATTAAACTAATGCGATATAGTTTATACATATAGTTTATCTGGACATATGTCCAAATTGACGAAAATGTAAGCAACTTCAGTATATGATGTAAGGCAGCAAAAGTGAAAGTTCAAAGTTCGTTAGTTACATAATTTATTTATTCTTTCTCATGAGCTGTTTTACTTTCGTCTAATTTCACAGATATGAGGCGGTATTTATAACGGATGATATGCATACGTAAAGCAAAAAAAAAAACGAAAGTTTTCGGACAACACTGAGTGCACATGAAATATGTGAAGCAAGACCAGCCGGAGACGAAAACTGAACATAGCTTTCAAATACACAGTTACGCCCCTATTTAAGTGCAATATTGATGTTAGAGAGGCTTGTTATCATTTCTGCTGTGGGATACGAAAATTGATATAAAGTGAAAAAACGATGACAAACAACACAAAACTAATGTTAGGACTGCTTTAACGATAATAAAGTCAGAAGAGAACGGTTAGTTAGGTCTGATTACATATTATGCAACAGACATTTCAATGTCTTTTTTTTATTTTACATATTGGTTATTTACATAATAGATCACACGACATGCTAATCCCGCTATGGCTTTTCAAAAATTGAACAATTTTCCTTGACTGAGCTTTTATGTGTGCATGTTAACAGCTTTTAATATGTTTAACTTAAATAGGTTTCGGTCAAAGAATAAAGTTCTTCCTTCTTCTTAAAACTCACTTATTAAATTTAGTAGTATTATGTTTTTAAATATTATGTTTTCAATTTTCCAGCAATTGTAAATGTGGCAACTCTGGTAAGAAACAGCAATACCTGCCAGAAAATATTACCACCGTCATTAACGCTTCGGTTTTGTATGTTAGTTTTTCGACAGATGGACTTGTAAGAGATTTATGTTGAAAATTTGTTTTTTGAGGTGTTAAACGGTTGAAAATTTTCATTTCTAATTAATTTGTTTTATTTTAAAAAAAAATTTTTAAAGAGTAGTTTTAAGTGCACAGCGTGATTACAACTAAGAAGAAGTGAGTTCGTGGTGTTCGCCTGATCAAGCTTTTTCAAAAACATTTCAAGGACAAACTGTTTTCCCTAAGCTTGAGGCAGACAACTTATGAAACATACAGAAAATTATTTTATTGCGAAATTAAACTTTTGTAAAATTAGTGGATCTCGAAGCAATTTGTTCTTAATTCAAAACCCTCTATGCTGCTTTCTCTTTTGTCCTGTTGATTAAAGGTGATGGTTTTGATGCCTTTAAAATTTTGATGATTCAGTAATCATACGGGACCTTTTTGTGCTTAAAACAAACTCATTAAAGAAAATGTTTTCACTTTTTCGCCACGCACTACGGAGCAGCATAAATAAAAATAAAATTGTATGTCTTAAGAATTGTAAAATTTATCAAATAGTTGAGGCGGCAGCATCGATTACACCTGTTATTTTCGCACACAGCAAATCTTTTGCTTCTGGTAAGCAATCAATAAACATACGAACGAACATGCATTAGAGAAACTAACTTTTCTCCATAAATTTTATTTGACTTTCCCTCATATTCATTATAAGATGATTCGATCTCTATTTGGATTTTTGGCCAAGAATTAGATTTAATAATTTTTTGTTTATAAAATGTCGTCATTAACTTTGTTCAAATTATATAAAAAATTGCTCCACCTACCCGATACAATTAAGTGGGTGTTAATATGTGTGTATGCGTACACTTTAACTGCATTAGCATTTCCGTTCGTTTGCTGACAGGTGCATAAGTGATGATATTGTTTGACTAACATACTTTTTACATTTTGTTGTTATTTTGCAAGTAAAATAAAACTTTAATTTTGTTAAGTTAATAAATACGCTAATTATCGTACAACTTGAAACTTGAAGTATGAGTGGTTTCTTATTGCTTATAAATTAACTTCGAATATGTAAACCTTCCCCCCTTTTCTTTTGTTTCTTGTTTTCTTTAATTAAAAAATTTTATAAAAATATAAGAAAGAAAAGTTTAAATTTAGTTTTAGTCAACCTATGAAGTTTTTTTTGAAAATTATAAAAATAAATTTAAAAGTAACAATTTTCTTTCAATAATTGTCTGTAGCCTTTTAATAAACGGTTGTTAAATTAGATTTGATAAGAATATTTCGCTATTTAAACAATCTTGTTGATGAAATCTTTGATATTTTCTTTGATATTATCTTGGTTTTTTGAAGATTTCAGTTATGGCAGTGTACGCCGAATATTGACCATAATTATGTAAAAAAGTGCAGAGAATAGATGGAGGAACAGTCTTGAAGAAATTTTTAGAAAACTACATTTGAGAAAAATAAAGAGTTCATTTACAGGACCTTTCTGGCTACAAAAATCTCAAAGTAGATTTTCATTTTAATTGCAGACACTTCAAAGAACAACATTAACAGTAACAATAATATGGAGAATAGAAATGACAAAATATCTGTAGACAAAGCGGAATTGAGGAAACGTTTAACCCCTTTACAGTATCAAGTAACTCAAGAAGCAGCCACAGAACGGCCATTTACTGGTAACGGTTAATGTTTATTGTTTTATGTTTACTGTAATTATACACTAAAATCCTTTTATATCATCTTAGGCTGTTATAATAAACATTACGAGAAAGGCGTTTATCAATGTATTGTCTGTCATCAGGATTTATTTAGTTCCGATACCAAATATGATTCCGGTTGTGGTTGGCCGGCTTTCAATGATGTCCTGGATAAAGGAAAAGTAACGTTGCATCGTGACGCCAGCATACCAGGTAATGTTTTGCAAATTATAATTGATAAATTTAGTTGCTTGGTATTCTGGATAAGTACCTTAATCATAAAATAGCAACAAATGAGGAAAGTTCGATTAGTTGGTACTACTCATCCTGTCAGGATATACATAAAAATTTTTTAATTAAGGGCAGCTTTTTAAGCGTTTTCGAATCAAGGCTTACTTTCGGGCCTGATGTAAGGAATTTAAGTAAGCTTGTCTAAAACCTGGGCAAAAAATATTAATTTGTGCGACCACTAACAGCAATAGGACGTAGAAACGAACAAAGAAGGGAAATTTATACTTTGCCAAAGTGCACCGCAAATAGCTTAGCCAAAATATCTGCTTAAATGATATTGAGTTAAGCGAAAATCAAGGATGCTTATAAGCGTACGCTTTACTGAATGCCTTAGTATGGACACACTGACCAAGTCGTTCAAGAATTAAACTAAAAAGGAATTTTACCAACATAAGATATTACGAAAGCAAGTGTTGTGTAGGATTAAGTTAGTACGTCCTCTAACAAAATTTTATTGTGAAGAAACTTATATATCTGCATTCTCGTGCAGAAACTTCTGATCAACTATTGTACCAATATTCCTATTGAACAATATGTTCGTCGGCTTTGATTGAGTTTTCTGCTGTCGATAAAATTTTGCACGAAAAAATTTTTATAAAGGTATCTTGATATTTCAATTAAAACTTGATGTAAGCATGTGGAGACTGTTTCAAAAGAAATCATGCCAAAAGTTAATAATTAAGATCGTTTGTCTTTAGCAATTTTCCATACACTTTTGAGAGCGCGTTCACTATGTATATTTTCTGATTGCTGGGTTTTGTAGAAATAGCAAAGTATAAACCAATCGATAAAAAAGCTTAAAAACATTAAAACCTCTGCTATTTTATGATTAAGCTTAGATATTTTTTCTACGCTCCTTTACTTTTATGTAATTTTAAATAATTTTAAGTTCATTACGGCTCCACTTTCATTTTGTTTATGGCATTTTTCAAAAATATTTTTCGTTTGGTTGTGAACTTTATTGTGCTTGTTTTTAATTATGGCCCTTATGAAAAGGAAACTATCGAAAAAATATTTAATATTCTCGAAGCTAGTGTGTTTTGCTGTTTGATGGTTTTGTTAGTATCCTACTAGTATCCTTTTTTTTTTGCTAGTATCCTTTCGTTATCCTACATCTTTCAAATTCTTGTTCTATCATTAACGTTTTCTATTCCCTTAGTTGAGTTATCTAAACGTAGACTGTCAAAAAACCGTAACGTAACGAGTATGTTGTTATGTTTGTTGTACGTAACCCTAAGGCCGCTATTCTGTATATGTGTTTACTAACCAACTCCTATACTATTAGAATCAATATTTCAGGTTTAAAGACTAATATTAATTAAATAAAATATTCTCTTCTCTTATATTTTTTTATTCTCCGTTTATCTTTTTGTTCCTTTTGTTCAATTGAATATATAAAATGCAATTACAATTTTCTCCGTTTATGATTTGTGTTTAATTATATTTCCGTTAAAAATTTCGTTGTTATGCAATTTTTGTTATTTTTCATTTTTGCTTCGAGATTAAATTTTAATTTCATGTCCAAAAATGGTTATAAAAACAGTAGTCATTTCAAAAATGCTAGGCATGATACGCACTGAGGTGCGTTGTTCAAAATGTGGCGCTCATATGGGTCATGTTTTTGATGATGGTCCGCCACCAAAATATCTGCGTTATTGCATCAATTCAGCTTCTATTAACTTTGTTGCCCAACCAGCGAAACCATCATCATCCAACCAGGCGTCGGGATCAGCTTCAACAAATCGTAGAAACTCTCAGCAAAGTGGACAGCCAGCCAAAAAATAAGTTCATTTCGTTATAAGTCGTAATTTTCAAACAAACAAAAAAAAAAAGAAGAAAAATCTCATATAACATCTGATATACATATGTACAAACATACAATCGTCATCATTTACATAATTTATTATGGCTTTTTTTTAGTTAACTAATTTGTTGTGCTGGTGCGTTCTTCATTACATTCACCACCGGTCTAGTAAAAAATAGTTCTCTAGACCGTTTGCAATCGCGAAAACTGTATGAAAGCGAAAAGTGATATTGGACAGAGCAAGATTTTCAATCTATTTAACTATGTCCGATTGTCTGTTTTCGCATAAATCGAAAATGGGTAGAAACTTTGCCAATACGCTTTTGAATTAATTTCATCAAAGATATAACTTGAAGCTAAGCGTGATTTGTGACACACTAAAAATAAATGTTAAAATACTTAAAAAGAAAAATTTGTAGAAGTTTTACGTTTATAGTTTAGGGACCATTGCAGACATCGTTTTGATGTTCATTTAATATTTCCTTCAAGTCCAAACGAGAAACTGTTATTAACTATAACTAAGTTCCATCCATTTATTTTGTGATCAATGCATTGCGCTCTGTAAGCGCAGATGACTAAGATTCCTACACAGAATTATTGGGTATGGGGTTACTATATCTACTTTCCTGGCACACACAGCTTCTTCGGGCTTTCTATGTCCATGCTAACTGGCGGTATTACCCTAGAAGCCAGAAAATTCCTATGCCTGCTTTTACTAGTTAGCAAAGAGAAGATGCAAACGTATTTCGAGCTTCATATTATTACCTAGTTATACTATGTATAAAAGAAGATCTTGTTCGCAGTGAAATTTTCCCTGTTTTGGAATATGATTTACTTATCCGCTCTCCATGATGATATTCAGCTATTATTTAAATCTTAACTTAAGTAATAAAATGCGCACAAAAATGACAAAACGAGGAATAATTTTGATCTTCGCACGCTAAACTCTGCATCATTGTCTCATTAGTGATGCGCTATCTTTACCAAGTGATTAGTAACATAACTTTTATGCTTTGTACTACAAAGAGTTTCTAGCTTTGAAATAAATTAAGTCATACCTCTTACGTCTCGTACGCACGATGCATCGGAGCGGTGCGACTTATAGCAGCAGCTCAATATTTTCCTTCGCGTTTCCACTGTCTACAAGTGCCCTTCTCGTTGTAAGTGCGGAAAAAAATCATATATAATATATATTTATATTATTTCTCATAAAAATACAACTGATTTTGGTTTCAATACAACTTCGTGCGTTTATTTCTTATAAAAATACAACTGATTTCAGACTTCATTGTGTGAATATGAAATGAAGCTATATAAATTTTTCAGTTCAAATGGACCGCGCTAACAAGTCTGATAATAAAAAAAACGTGAATTTCTTTACAGAATTTCTCAGTAAGGATGCCTTTCTCTTAACTGTACTATGTAATATTGTTACTTAGACATGCTATATATTGTACCAATTCTGTTTTCGGCTCGAGAGGTAATTTCTTGTTAAAATCTTCCGTCTGATGCGCGTGTCGTTGTCTGGCCTTTTTCATTGAAAAAATTGAGTTTTAAAATAATTCTGATCGATTTAGAAGCATGTTAATAAAGAAAGAAAATAGTGTTATGCAGTACCGATTTTATTGAAGAGTATCCATCATCGGACTTTGATTCGAATGAAGTGACGATGCAAGGTTTACTACTTTTCATTGTTGAAAATTGGATGCATACCAAAACACTTTAAATTGGTGTTATTCATTGTTGAAAAGCACGTCTCCAAGCATTGAGCTGATAAGAACGGTATGCCAAATAGCCAGTTTTTGTAGACACAGGCAGTTTTTATGGAAAGCTTCGACTAATAGTCTAAATTGCACGGCTTCTTGAATCAGTGGGGATTTTTATTATTACCGATATCATGCGTGCGTGCCAGAGAATTGTGCCGTAATGACGACCTTGCTCTTTAGTGTCTGATTAGTGTAACGACGATTATTTTTTTTGCCCATGTTCATTGAGACAGGATTATGGAATAATAATAGAAGGAGAACTGTTCTCACAATTTGTGAGCATATTTTAGTATATTCCAGCTGATTTCAATCAAACGTGAGTGTCATTGTTCATCCATCAACTCAGAAATGGCCATCATTCTTCGCACATTATGTTAGAAGTGAGCGTCATTGTTTAGCCGTTGGGTGGAAATAGCGCGACATTGTTCAGGATAACGCTTAATTGAAGATTTTAATCAAAATCGTTCTTCAATATGATTTATTACTCAGGCATTACAATTGCAATACGTGTAAGGATTATTCGTCTCCAGACGTTGGATTAACACGATTTAAAACATATGCAAGACATGCTCTATACTATGTAATGTACATTATAAAGCGCTCGCGAATTTCTTTTCTGCAACACTTCATTCAATTTAGTTTTGTACAAAATACTATACAAAATTCCAGCAGAATTTCTTAGCTTATCATTGCTAAATCTCGTCGTTTTTTGCACTTTGTCTCCCCATTCGGGAGAATTGGCATGAGTGTTTAAAGTTTTCTATCCAGCTATTCGTCTAATTATGCGATAAGAATGTTCCTAAGTTGCCCATAGTCTGAAAAATTAAGAGTATTCCAATCTGCCGTAATACTCAGAAAACGAAAATAACAAAAAAAATTTGCGATGCACAGCAAGTATATTTGTGAAAAGAATAATAGAGGGGACAATCTCAATAGGGGGTCAGTACACACTCGGCCACAACGAGCCCAGAATGTTTACTATTTTTATGTGCAAATTTAGTTGAATGGTTTGCTCTTGGCTTAAGGTGGTGGATGTTCAAAATTCGTCTAGAAAGCGAATTTAGTTTTTTAACATGTTCTTCCTTTTGTTCGTTTATTTAATGCTTTTATTGTTTGTTTTATTTTAAATTGTTTTCCTCAACTTGTGAGTGGTAGCTTAGTGTATTTTGGGATTTTTCTTTTATTTTTTTCCTCAGCTTAACCAGTCAGTCAAACACCCATTAGCGGTTTCATTTCATTTTCTTCCTAAAGCTCTGCTAATGGCATATTTCCGTGGCTTTTGTTTTGCAGTTTTACTTCCTTTTGTTAAGAACTCTTATTTATTATGTGGTTGTCTTTGTGTTACTCTACTTTTCAATTTTTTAATTCTATAGAGGATTTCTTATTACTTTTTTTTTAATTTTTATTTTTCTCATGCATAATTAGTATATGTATAGACCAATCAATCAATCAATGAATCAATGAGTAAGACAATATAAATAATTAATTTTTTTATATATATTTTTCTATTTCTTTATTTTTTCTCGCTTTTTATATAAACATACATAAATGTGCCTGTTTTGGGGGGGTTCTAATTCACAAACACGCACACATACACCCACACACCAACACACCCGAACACAAGAAAACATACTTAAAACCTTTACACTTTATACTAAAAACAAACGGCTAAACTTGTTAAAATTTAATTATTTATATATATACAAATGATTATCACAATCATTCTCTCATTATCATCGCCCTAATAAATGTCAAAATGGAAAAAAACCTATGCTGGCTTGCAAATGCGCTTTTCAAAACCAAAAACAATAACAAACAATAATAAATAACGTACAAATAAATCAATAAATCATTTTGTATTTTTCGTCCATTTTTTCACTTCTCTTTACTTACTTTCATTTCGTTTTGCTCTCATTTGCATTTCTCTTTTCTTCTGAATCACTTTTGTGAATTTTCGACGCAATTTCTTTCTTTTTTTTTTTTATATTTTATATCTTATGTTTTCACATTAATTGTTTACATATTTCGTTTTGCTGAATGTGTGCTGTTCTTTGCACTTTTTATCTATTTCGTTCTGGTTTGCTTCATTTCCTTTTTGTTCTTTTTTTTTCTTGTTCAACTTTGTTTCCATTCTGTGCAATTTAAAAAAAAACCTTTCTACTCTTAAAACGCATTGACAACTGAAACTGATAATAAAACCACTTTTACATCATTTGTAATAATAAATCTCCTTGTTAACCTTTTAAATTGTTTGTAAATTGTATTGTTAAACAAACAAAAAAAAAAAAAAAAAAAAAAAATACAAAACAACAATATTCTCTTGTAAAAATATTTTTCCAATAAAATGCAATTGCAAATTACTGATAAAAAGGGGGTAATATTTTACTACTAATTAAACATCCAGAACGCATACGCACAGAGGTACGCTGCTCCAGATGTAATTCTCATATGGGACACGTCTTCGAAGATGGACCGCAACCAACTCGTAAGCGATATTGTATCAATTCGGCGGCTATTGATTTCGTTTCGGCCGATGATCTTAATAAACTTATTACTGCAAATGTCAATGCAGCTCCAGCCATCGTTCAACAATAACAACAGATAGACACTAAATTAATTCGATTTTTGCGTAATTAAACAAAGCAACAACATTTACATCATGCAGTCATGTTAGAGAAGGCTAAGTAAAAACATTTGTTTATGTCAATTTTAACGCTTTTAATGGAAATATAAAAACAAAAACGAAATGATAAAAAAAATAATTATAAATAAAAGAAAACAGTAACAATATTGTTGTAGATTAATGTGCAATTAAAAGCTACAGTAAAATCGTATTTAACTTAACACTATTTTGTTCTTATGTGTATGTGTGAACATTAATTAAAAAAAAACACATATATGTATATATATATATATATATATATATAATTTTTTGTTAATTCGTAAAAACCCAAACTCTAAAAAGTTAAATTGTATGAGTGTGAAAGTGTATGCATATCTTTTGATAATTTGCTAATAAACCAAAATTGAAAAGAAAAAATTGTTGTGTTTGCTTGCGACATTGCCAATTTCGTTATATTATAAGTATGATAAGTAATGATGGCAAGCCTTTCCGCTCATCTTAGGCGCTAAAATAAAAGTAAGCCAACTTTTGCTGTTAAAGCGCGTTAAAGAAAAAAAATTAAAAAAAATGTTGTTGACTTGCCATGGAACATTTCGTAACTCCGAAAGTTTCAATGTTTTATTTAGAAAAGGTGATTTTATCATTCTTGTTTTTTCTTTTATGATTACTTTTTTTATTGGCGTTTTTGTGTTTCCTTATTTGCAGATATACGCATATGTGACCAAACAGACGAACTTCAAAGCTGTTTTGTTGATACTTTTAAAAGTCACGATCCGGGTGGTCGATAGCTCGCACAGATCATAAATTTTAATGGATCGCGTAATATTGATGCGACGAAATCGTCAGAAAAAATTGTCGATTACGACGTCTCTTAGTGAATCCACTATAGTCAATTTTGCAAAGAAATTTCACGCCACATAATAACTGGAAAGAAAAAAATTCAAAAACTACGATAAACGAAAAAGGAATTTGCATGTTTGACACTTACCAATCATATTTACTGAACTACCGCTTCCTGAAAGATAATTTTGATATAAACTATGGTTCAAAGCTATCAATTTGCTTGACTGCAAGAACATTTTTCTTTCTTATGGATTTCGACATTCCTTTCAAATTCATCGTAAAAATATTCTTGTTTTATGGCCACCAATTATGTTTGAAAGTGGCTGTAATCTGGCCATTGTTTCCAAAAGGCAAAAGAAAAAACTATAATTCTCAAAATTTAGAGCAGGTATAGAACTGATATCTTACATCGCCATAGAGTTGCGTTTTAAAGAAGGTTGTTTACTTAAAAGAAGCAGTGCAAGATATTCTATGCAAAGTGTTGTCCTCCGTTAACTAATACTTGTTCTCAGGATTTCTGGCCGCCTATGAATTCCGTAGCAAAACAAAAAATCGTCATCTGGAACAGCCGTTTGAATAAAGTAATAATGTATGATGAATAAAGTGAGGCTGTTAGTCCCGTTGATGGATCTATCGTTCGCTGGAAAGGTTTTGTAATACATTGTGAGAAAACTACTTTATCATACTATCCTCGCATATTGTTAACGATCTGTTCAACTGCATTAATTTTTTTTCTTTCGAATTTGGCTGTAGCTTTTCTTTGTGATAAATGGCTTTTTTGGGTAGGATCACTATACCGCCTTTTGATCGCATCAAAAGACAAAGCATAAGCTGGAATGTGCCGTGAATAAAGGTCCTTATCGTCGATGTCAATGGGTCGTCTATCCTGCGGCATACCCTCATGCTCTTCACATTATTGTAGCATATACAGTTTTAGCACTCGCCGTACTTCACCTTTCCTCCGCACTTTCCTTCAAATTATATAAGAAAGCTAAAATTTTCCGCAAATAAAATATATGCAAAACGGAAAAAAAGGAAATTGTATTCGGCTGTGACCGAATTTTACAGCCGTCATAATTACCGCAAGAAAGATTAAAAAAAAGGAAAAAACTAAATTTCTATGCTCTATATTACTGGATGGGCGCGATTAATTTTCCCTATTTTTGTTGCGTAAAAGAGGTATTTTATATCAATTGTATCCGTCGTAATTTATGAGTAACGAGCAAAATATATGGAAAGCGAAGGCATTCGCACTTTATGTTGCATTGTAGAAGTGTGCCGATATCCTCAATTTTCCAAACACAAGAATGTTTCCCGCAACTGCTATATAGTTGAAGAGACGGACAAACGAACAAGCGGACGTGCGCAGGTGTATTCCAAACGATTCAATCTACTTTACACTGGTTATCTATTTTATGAGATTTTTGATGAGATTTTGCTTCTGGACGTCATAAAGGTTTGGGGCGCTATAATATTGGGTGGGCACGGGCGGTTTAATTTCTGTGTGGATACAATCGCCCCGCATATAGAAAATTCCTCTGCATTATTATAAGTTTATCTGCTGCGGTTTGTGAGTAATTTAAAAAAAACTATTTTCTTTTCCTTTGAAAACAAGAGGTGTTCGCAGTTTACGTGATATTGTAGTCGTATCCTTCGATCAATTTGGCCCACTTTCAATACCAATCTGCGTGCATGGGCTTCCAATGTTTCTGCCAAATTTGAAACCGATAGCTTCTTTTATGCGTTTAGAAGAATGTTTGTGACAGACATTAAGCAGAGGGTGGTCCTCCGGCGAGCACACTTTAATCGATTCAGAATTTGTTGCTGAAAAAGAATATATATATTCTTTATGGGGTTTCTGGAGGCTTCTTCTTGTCGTTGTAAAATGAATATATTCCTCATGTTTCGGGGATTTTCCAGTAAGTATAAAATAGTGAGGCACTTACATCCGGCTGGGCCTAAATCTCGTAATTCACCAACATTCATCATACCAATGCGAATTTTACTTTTCCGTAGCATGATGAGGCAGGATACAAAATTGTTATTATAAGCTGTAATCGCTAGACTAGTATTAAAAACTTGCATAAGTTTTAGGTTTATTTCTAAGCTAAATATATTTGTTATTTACGGTGGGCGTGGTCGTCCATTTCCATTTTTGGAATGAAAAATGTGTAGAATGCAATGCTCTCTGAACTTATGAATCGTGGGTAAAGAAATGTGAGCAAAAAACTACATGGGCAACGAAACCAATTAAATTTTGGTATTTTATAATTTTTTTATAATTTTTTATAAATTATCTTATAATTTTTTCTAATCCTGTCTAGAATAAGCGAAATAATTTAAAACACTCTGTCTTGTTTACTTTACAAGTACCAGCCTGAGTGGCCGAGTGGGTAAGAGTTTTGACTAGCAACTCAATGGTCGTGGGTTCAAATCACAAGTGCGGTAGAGTTATTAATAAAAGCCGAAGCCTTTTTGTAGATGCCTAGTGCTTTAAGGCTTTAGTCTTAGAATTTATTCTCTGGCTAAATTTATAATAAAAATAATAATAATAATACTTTACAAGTAATAAGTAGAAAACGTCAAAAAATGAATAAAATGAAAATATAATCACTTACAGCTTTGTATGGGTGCGGTAGCGGGATTCTCCATAAAATAAATTTGGGGAATTTTAATGAGCAAAAACGCACAAATTTTTGTTTACATAAAAAGAAGTGCGTTCATTTCGCGCTTTATTGTAGATGTGTGCCTCAAACGATTTGGCAAAAATATGCAATGTTTCCGTCAAAATCGATGTTGACATCTTAAAAAGGAGACTGTCGACACGCAGGCGGACGGGCATGGCTACATCGATTCAGAGTTTGACGGTGGTCACGAATATATTTATACTTTATTGAGTTTATATGAAGCTTGGTTTTGGGTGTTGTAAATATTACGACTAATGGACAAAATGGATATACACAGCGATATTTCTTTGGTGGTTATGAAAGCGAAAGCTTTGCTCAACGTGAGC